GTTGAGTAGTATTCCATTGTACATAATACATCACATCTTCTTTATCCAATGGACACTTAGGTTGTTCCATATGTTGGCTATTATAAATAATGCTGCAATGAACATAGGGGTGCATATATCTTTTCAAGTTAGTATTTTCATATAAATACCCAGAAGAGGAATTGCTGGGTCATATAGTAATTCTATTCTTAATTTTTTGAGGGGGATCCTCCATACTGTTTCCATAGTGGTTGTACCAACGTACAATCCCACCAACAGTGCACCAGGGTTCATGTTCTTCATTCTCTCCAACACTTTTTTGTCTTTTTGATAACTGCCATTCTAACAGGTGTGAGGTGATTTCTCACTGTGGTTTTGATTTGCATTTCCCTGATAATCAGTGATGTTGGAAATCTTTACATGTGCCTGCTAGCCATCCACTAGGTGTATCGGTTAATAACATGGATTTTGTAATCAAAGAAAACACATTAATTTCTAGAGAAACATCAAAAGTGCTTTACTCAAAGTAATGTCCATCGCTAGCTACACATTTCTCCCATCTTTTCAGGTAATTTGTGGATACCGTCCCAATAGAACTTTTCTTGTTTTGAGGCTAACTATTCAGAGACCCAATTTTCCACTTATTCGTATATTTTGAAGTGCTGCTCAGAAAGTGCATGTGCCATCGATCAGAACTAGTGGTAATCTGAAGGGGCAAGATCTGGTGAATAAATCGGGTGGGTTAATACTTCCCAGGAAAAATCTTTTAACGTGTCTTTAACTGGTTTTGAAGTGTGTGATGGTGCATCATCATGAAGCAAAATTACTTTGCCGTGTCTTCTGGCACATTCTGGTCATTTTACAAACAAAGTGTGGTTCAAATTGATTATTTGTTGTTGGTACTGATCAATATTAATGGTTCCACCTGGTTTTAGAAGCTCATAATACACCACACCTTCCTGATCCCACCAAACGCAGAGCGTTGTCTTCTTTCCGAAGCAATTTGGCCTTGCAGTCAGTGTTGTTAGTTGACCTGCATTAACCCATGATTTTGTGCATTTGGGATTCTCTGTTCGCTGAGCAACGTTTAATTTTTCTGCAAGTTGTTTGGTCTTCAAACTTTTTCGGTTGATCTGAACATTGTCTTTCACATTGAAATCATCACTTTAAAGTGTTTAAACCAGTGTTCACGAGTATCTTGAGATGGAGCATGTTCACCATAAGCTTCCCAAAGTATACAGTAACTTTTCAGCAGCACTTTTCTTCAAAATAAATGAATTAAAACTTCCCAGAAATGCTTTTTGGGGGGCACGAAATTTGACATTTTTAAGTGTAAAAATATCTATAATGTTAACACCTTCAGAAAATTTGACATGAAATTTTGAAGATTGTTGTCAATACAAAATAGCATACATATCAAATCGCATATATACCAACGTATGTGTAACTCCACCTATTGAAAAAAATCGATTAGCCAGTATACCTACTATATGTCTTCCTTAGAAAAATGTCTATTCAGATTCTTTGTCCACTCTTTAAATCATTTTTGTTGTGGTGGTCTTGTATGAGTTCTTCATATTTTTTGGATGTTATCCTTTACCAGAAATATCATTTGCAAATGTCTTATAACATCTTTTTGTTTTGTTGGTCATTTTGTTTGCTGTACAGCTTTTCAGTTTGATATAGTTTCATTTGTTTATTCTTTCCCCTTGCCTTTGGAGTCAAATTCATAAAAACATCACTAAGACAGGATTTTTTAAATGGTGGGCAAAAAAGTTTAATTCTACATATATATTTTTTCTTGATATTCATTTCTTACAAAAGTGTAACCTTTTGCAATCTAGATGTAGAAATATTTTCCTTCTTCCCTTCTTTGGCTAGTCTAATAACTTGATTGACATAAGACAAATTAACAGGAGAAAAATTTAAGCTTGTATATACAGGAGCCCTATAAAACATGACGCAAAGAAGTGAACATAGCAGAAAGTTTTATTATCTTTTAGACACTGAAACATCCATTTGTGAAGAATTGACAAGGCAGAGGAGCTTAGGCTAAGGAAAGTAAATGGTGAGGAATTAACAAGGTTTATTTACACAGCCCTTTCAGCCCTAAATTCCATGTCTCTGGTAGGATGAGGGTGCCTTCTACCCCCCTGGAACAAGCAGGGTAACTTTATCATCCACTTTCAGAGGGGCAAAGAGGGGCAATGTCCTTTTTGCACCACTATTACTCAAGTGCCTTTAAAACAAATGCCAACCCGGCATATTTTGGGGTGACATATTCTGAAACCCCTATATCACCAGCCTGTATAGTTAGTTCTCCAGCATCAGTAATAAAAAAATTCTAATTTTATTTCAACATTTCAGTAATAGAAAAATTCTAATTTTATTTCAACATTTTATTGAATCTTTTCATGTTACACAACTTACTGAAAAGATTTAAAACACCGGTGAGATAAAAACAACTTTTAAAGATACACCAAAATACACATACAGATAAAACACCTCTTCTAGTTGAGGTAATATTATAAGAGTCATTGTCAAATCCCAAATTGTTGCTACTGTGCTATACAACTTGGTACCGTATCAGTGATTCTCAATGACTCAAAAGAAAGACATTACATTAGCAAGCAAAATGTACAATTTAGAAGAGAAAGCAGAAATGCCAACATTAAGATCACTGAAATTCTAGTGCAATGTGGATTGTTACTAAGCGGGTTTTATTTGCTTATGTATTATTAAAAATAACTAATTCAAACCTGCCTATCCTTTCAAGAGCTGGAAAAGTAGTCCTTTATGTTAAAACATGGGAGTAAGCAAACTGAGGGCAAACATTCTCCAGAATCGCATGTGAAAAAGACCAGTATCAAAGCAGAATATTTTATTTTCTGAGCAGATCTAGCAACACAGAGAAATGTTGAAGCTTTTGTGCCCAACAGGTAAAATGAATATTTTGTGCGGTAATAAGAAAGCCAGTACTAAAAAAGACAGCTGTGAGTAGTCAGGTACATGAGCGAGACTCCTTACCTCTCCAGTTTTGTTTGTGAAAACAGTAACCAAGACATCACATTCCCCAAACCAGAGCCATTTTGAAATTGGCTGGTTTTTAACTATCTCATAGCATCTAGTGCTGAAAATTTAGAGGCTTGACTAAATTTGATAAATTTAGGAATTATTTTTCAAGGGTCTAGAAAGGGTACCTCATGGTAAAGAAATTTATAAACAGATTTAGCAAATCAATGAACAAAGTAATGAACAAATTCACTAAACAAAGTAAATTAATATTTATCATGTGTTTCAGTTTTTAATTCAATTGCTTTCTGGCTATGACTCAGATTAAGAAATCATACAATGTAAGAGAAGCGTATTACACTTCATGTCCATGGCCAAAATCAATTGTGTGAAAGGACCATTGGGCCTATGGAATATTTTAATAGATGCTCATTCATAATACTATTAATCACACTGAATTACAAATATTATTCTGAGCTATTATCACCTAAAGAAACGCAGTGCATGGATATTTGCTTTTGGCACCTATATAGTAAAGAAATAGAGCACTTT